TGAACTCAGATTAAGGGTCTGTTCTCTTTGCTCTCTACTGATCCTGAAAAGAATACATAAAGGCATGTCCAATAATGAAAAGAATGCAATCAACACAGCTCAATTTGTCTGCTATAATCTCACAATCCAGAATATGCCTAACCCAATTAGAAACAGAAGCTAAGTTTGTGATCTGAGGTATAATTGAAGCATGAAATTCACAACAAAGGTAAGTTATAGCTTTGAAATAAAAGCGTTTTACTACTTAACCTGACCTATTCTGCCTTTAACACCTACGGAGAATTGTAGTCTTACATCTTTTGGGCTAATGGCTTTTAGTGAGTCTTTTCAACTTTGTTAAAAAGCAGAACAAAAATCAAGAACCTCCTGTGCAAATGCAGAAGCTACCAAAAAAAAAAAAAAAATCAGAAAAAAAAACCCACTTCCACATAACATAACTGCTTGGTAAATTTGACCAAAGAGCACAGAATGCCCTTGAAATAATGAAAAGTCCAAAATCACAGAATACATTAAATAATTAAAGGAAAATTAAGTTCAGAAAAATACTGGCGATGGTGAAAACTTTTCTGAGATTTTCAGCTTCTAAAGGAAATCTCTTTTAATCTATTAACTAAATTTACTGGGGTAAATCCAGGTTTTATATCTTTGCTAAGATATAAAAAAAGAGAGACCTCCCATTTCACATACTGGCCATCTTGCTCTGCACACAATCATCAAAACTACCCAAAAAGATGACTTAAGTAAGTGTTTTACGGAAGTTTTTAAAAAATAATTATAAAAAAAGACATATGAAGAAAAAAGGGAAGTAAATTTTTCTCGATTAAGAGAGTTAACTGTCTTTTTAGAGGGAATTCTTACACTATTACTATTCGGTACCTTAACATTCTGACAAAGTGATGATGCTTCCTGAAGACGCTTCAGGATGATGATGCCTGAAGATGCTCTTATTCTTGCCAGATAAAAACTGCTTCAGAATAACTGTTTCTAACACATTTCAAAGCAGTTTAGAAACATACAGAATGCTAACACAACACAGCAGCACACCAATTTCATGACACTTTGGAAATCAGCACCTTTCCCACGTTATCAGTTCTCCATTGTACCACTTAGCTTTTGTTCTGCTCCACTGGCACAAAAAGAATTTTAATTAATGGAAATGTAACTTCAGTAAGTACAGTTAAGCATATGCTTCTGCCATTCCAGATTTGAGCCAGAAGACAGAAGTAAACCCAACTGAATTCCCATATTTCAATAAACTCATCTACTACTTACAAGCTTATTTTTAAGTATTTACAAGTATTTTCCTAAAGATCTGGACAGAGTTGCATATCTGGGTCCTAAGGTAAACAGAAGACCAAGTCTTTTGTTTTCCTGAAGGCAGTCTATAGTTTCCTACCATTATTATATAGCAGTATTAATAATCACAAATGAACTCAAAAGCTAAGAGAATTAAAGCTATATTCTATTTCTACACAGTGGTTAATAATGAGAAAATCTTTACATCTTTTTTCTTTTACCTTGAAATCACTGCTAATAACCTGAAAACAAAATAACTCAGTTCAGACTGCATTATGGCAATGTCTAAAACACTCAGAATTTACAAGTCTATTCAAGTCTATGTCCTACTTTAAGTACTGAGATAGCACAAGACAATACACCAACTGCATTCTTACCAGTAACTGTTCTTGGTCTTCCTTGGCATCCTTGTAAGAGGCGGATCCAGGCAACCAAGATGATAATGGAGTTTACAAGTGTCACACAGTAGCAGTAGGTGCTGATCATGGTTCTTCTTGCAAATTCCACAACTTTTAATGTAGGTAGCAGAAAAGCATTATAATTACATTTGAAATCATGAAGAATAAATGATTATTATGACATTCCCCAGTTCCAATACACACATGTGGCAACTTCAATTTGAATGCATCATTTAAGTGCTTAATTACTTTTTAAGGAGCTTCTACCCATACGCAGTAAAGCATAAAAGGCACCTAATATATTGTTAACAATAAAATGGCTTTCAATTTAATTTTTTGAGGCCTTCTAACCAGTAAGTAAACACTTCAAACTTCAACAAAATGTACTGGTGGCAAATGGAAAAAATATTACCTGTGCCATCCAAATGCTTAAACAGAAAATCATGCCGCGATCATCGGTCTTAGCAATCATATGCTTATTTTAATAATGCAAGCACCTTTAAATAGGTCTGTGCTGCCATTGTGTTGGGCAATGTATCAACTCATAAGAAATTACATTTCCTTTTCATTATTATTATTTTACTGCAACCGAGATTTTAGTTATTTCAAAAAGATCAGGTGTTTATTGATTCCATTCTAAAAAGCGAGGAACTAAATGACTGGATTTAAATGAAACAGAACTAGTAAAGCATGACTCCTGCTGTTTGTGTATACATCTAAATTGCCAAATCCTCAGCCCACTGCCATACTCTCAAGATTTGCACCTTCCACAGCACTACAACGTTTGCTTATGTAACCTATCTTCTTCATTTAGCCTGCAAGCTGGGCAAGATTGCCCGCTTCCTGTGGCTGGAAGCCTGGTTGCTGGTTGCTCTCTAGATAAATGACAGACCGTGCCACTTGCTGGTGACAAGAGAAGAAGATCCAAGATGATAACGTATATTTTGCACAGTCATGCTCTGGGATCATAGTATATGTTCCACTTAGGCTTAGTTAAAACCCACTCAGTAGATTCAGAAGTTATAGAAAAGGGGAAAAGGTGGCACAATGACAGAGTATGTGAATACATTTTATTTTCTTGATAATTAATAGAAGTAGAACTAGGTAAATTTAAAACACAAGATATTCCAAAGCATTTGACAAGCCATGAGCAAAAAGTAAAAATTATTGTATGACAGATGTTTTATGCACCCAGCCACTGTGACTAAACAGCCGCAGCACTGTTTGCAAAGTCATCAACACAGATGATTGCACTCAAAAGGCAACATGACCAGTTAAAGATTTTCATATCACAGAGACAAAGGACCCTTCTATTTCAGCTATAAAGAGATACCTTTGTCCTTAAAGCACTGCTGTCAAATTAGCAAAAAAACCCCAAACCTTACTGATGTATGCTACAGTGAAGAATTTACTATGATTCAACTTAGCCTTCAGAAGTAAGTAAAACATACAGACAACTCTGGAGCATTTTGTTAATCAAAATCGAAGTACACAACTTTCTCTTAACACTTTTGTGAAACTATTAACTTCCTTGATATTGCTTCTATTCTGTCAAGACTTCATTACTTGCCTAAAAAGTACGGCCGGAAGCGTAGATGTCTTTTGCGTTCCTCCTTCCTTTTTACTTGGTTTCCTTTCCTTAGGAGCACGTAAAATTGCTGGTATGTTCAATTTCTATTGGATTTAAAAAAATGCAGTATACATGAGTCTTGAGACTTTTGGAGAATACCGCTCCAATCTCAATGCATGAAAAACAAGACTCAAATTATGAGTGTGAAATTGCTTAGCCATTTTACAGACAACAGTAACTACAGATGTTTATATTACAAAATCACACTGGGATAAAGCAATATTATACTCATTTTTTTTTCAATTCATTAAATAAAAAACACATAGAAATACTGGCTTTTAAAATTTTTCTTCAAGCTTCAAATAGAGGGATGGATAGGGAGGCATCTGTCTAGGCAGCTGAAACAAGCATAGGCAAATTCATGAAATTGACAGAATACTGAGGCAGTTTATTCTCCCCAACATCCCTGCTGCACTGGTGCTCAATAGGTTAATTAGAAAAATTATCTTATTGGACCAAACCCTCCACAAAGCAGATGAGATTCTCTTCGGGTTTCTACTAATCTGCAGTATGCTAGCTTCTCAGACAGCAACCATCTATCAAAGTCATTTCTCAGCAGCCCCATGGGTCTGCATCTGTTCAACCAACTGGAAAAACAATGTCATGCAAGCTGTGTAAATGAATTCTACTTAACTTTTTTTTACTTTTTTTTTTTTTTTTAAATTTAGCAACATTTGCACCAGGAAATATATTTGTGAATACTTACCCAAAGGCATCTTAAAAAGGAGGGGAAAAAGTAATCTTGATTCAAGAGATACATTATGTGAGAATCCTTCTTCACAAGTAGAAAAGATAGGTGGACACATAGAACCAGAAAAAGCTAGCATACCTTAAGAGCTACTGCTGCATAAAAAAGGGTAAGTTTCATTTTCTGAAAGCAGCACAAAATCAGCACTACTAAAGGGCACAACAAAATTGTAACCTAACTGCACATCTGCATTTACACAACGAACAGTTTCTTCAATCTTCCTTAATATCATAACTGGAAATAATTTCAATCTCTCTCTGACATCTAAAATGTCCATTGTCATTTAATACCTTTGACATAAGACATACATCAAAACATGGCAAGAATCTAGACTTCTCTCCATGTGCATCAATGAGAACAAAGATAATTGCAGGCAACAGGAAGTAATCCAAATCTTATCTGCTCCTAAATATTTATATTAATTTGACCAAAATATTCTGCTCTGTCCAGCTAAAAACCATCACATACATCTGCAGTTTTAAAGGTTTATATCTTATAAAAGCCATAAAGAGTTACCATATCATTTGAAGCCTACAGTGACTAAAGACAATGTGTAGACTAAAATGGCAGGATTAACTCACGCTTCACATTAGGGTTCATCACAAATGACAGGTCAATTGGTTATACCAAGCAAAGGTATTTTGCAAACAATATTACCAACAACAAAGTTAAGGTACAGGTTCCCAGGAGGTGGTCTGCAGAAATCTAGATACTTCAATCAGGAAACATTATCCCCAGAATATAGACTGGGTCTGGTCAAATCAATTTATTTGACCATATAAGTGTCAGACACAAACAAAAAGGCCAATTATTGGAAAACCAGGTCTGTCTATGAACTATAAAGGGGGGAGAAAACCAACCAACCTGTCCAATTATTCTACCCAGCAGAGCCCAAATGCCTTGCCCTTCATTTCGCAGTTTTCCATTCATATTTTGTAGCTCTTCCAAGGACTCACACAGCTGAAACGTTAAAGAAAAAAAATCAACAGGAATAAAAATCCATTAAGAGTTATTTAATAAAATTTATTCAACCTCTTACCTATCTAGAGTGTATTACTTTATTCTGGGATTAAAAAACAATAGAACTCATCTCAATACAGCTGAGACCAGCGCAACCATTCAGCAAGTTAACGGAACTAAGATGAAAACCTGGGCAGCCATCTGTTTTATAAAGAAGATCTGAAGTATTGCAGCATGAAAATAAGGCTTCATACAGTCAATCAGAAAGCAAATCTAAAATACAACATCTTGTATGTTTTGTCCACACCGCTTAAGCAGCAAGGTTATAACAACCACACAAATCAATTAAAGCTCTATATTGCATTACCAAAGAACATTCACTGTCTCTCATAGAAAGAGATATAATTTATTAAAAGGATGTTTTTTTTTCTTCTGGAAGGAACTGTTAGTTACCACACAGCATATACAACCTATTAATTTGGCTAAAAGTCCCATGCACACGCTCCTTCCTTTTCATCCTCTTTGGGCAGTTCACAAGGACCTGCTGCTTCATTTCTATACATTCCCATTTAAAACACACACCCAGCAGTTTAAGAATTAATAGCAACATTATTTTTTGTCGTCACTAACCATCACTTGATAGGTTGCTGAATTCAGCAAATTTTGCAGCATGTCATCTGTCATAAAAGACACAGTATTTCTATGTTCCATTTCAAACATTTAGAGATTAAAGAAATAAATATTTAGTAAAAATGCAATTAAAACACAACATGCTTTTTTAACCATGATGATAAGTTAATTAAAAAAAAATTACATTAGCAATATTTTGATGGGAACAATGCCATCATTTATGGGCCCCAAATTATCTATACTCAAAGCACACTATGGATGTGTGAATATTGACTATTTCAGGCAGAAAAATTAGCTAAATAATTAATCTAGGATGAACACAACTGGAGTTGGAATTGACATAAACAAATAAATAACATTCTGACAATCCTAGATTCCCAATTATGAAGTAGGGTTCCAAGTAGACAACCAAGCACATTCAAAAGGAACCTAGAACTACACACAAGCAAAACAAAGCAAAAAAACACAGAGAGAAGAGAGAGGAGTCAAAATGTTGTCTCAAAGTCTCAAGTGAAATGCATACGAAGAATGAAAAAAGAAGGGGGCTTTAAGACACAGTTCAATCATGGGAGGGACTTGTCTGTCCATGCGCAATTTGTTACTGGAGCTCTCAGTGGGGTCAGTTAAAGAACTCGTTCCCAGCCAACATATGACATCTTTCTTTCCACGTCATTTTGTTTGGAAAGCAAAACACTATCAAAGCTAACCGCAGCAATACTAAACCAGTACAACAGTTTATTATCATTTTTTCTTCACCTTATTATACTCCACGTGAAGTTTTTCTTGTTCATTTTCTAATTTATCTTTGATATTCTTCTGTTCAGCCATATTCTCCTGGATTTGAATCATGCGCATATTTCTCTCTATTTAAAAGAAAATTGCATTATTTCCTATCCTTGGCTATATTTTCAAGTTTTATGCACTGAAAAAAGTGAAGCAATGAAAAGCATAAAACCATAATAAGAAAAAAACCACAAAACTATAGCCTATAGATTATTACACAGACTGCATAGAATGAACAGTCGTACACTCACTTTCTGCTACATGACGAGTATAGTTATTTAAATTGTGAGCTTTGATCAGTCTAGCGAACAGTACAGCCCCAAAGACAAAATCACTCCATTCCACGCAGAAAGGGAAGCAAATGTAAGGAAAAAAAAATTACATCGAAGGTACCTAAGCTTCCACCCTCTTCTTAGCAAAGACACTGCCTCCTGTTTATATTTGAAAGATGTTCTTCTTTTCTGAAATGTCTTTTTTAAAAAATTGCTAACTTTCTGTGCAAATAGATACCAACCAATAATATACCTAATCGAAAATGAAGTCATAATTCATATTTATCTATTAATAACAAAGGAATGCAACTAAAATAAAAAAGCCAATGAATCAGCACAGTACAGATACAGCAAGCAATAATTTTTCATTGAGAAAAATATGCAATTTTTATTCTTACCAAGGTAATAATTCACAAAATCAGCAGTGAGAGCTGGTTGTTTATGTTTTCTTCTTCCATCAACACTGGAACTAGTATCTGAAGTATCCACTGGAAAAATGTCTGTACTAATTCCCATTAACTCAGCTTTGCGCATGAGCTTACGTATGGCTGAAGCACTGCTGGTAAGTGGTCGTGGTAGCTTCTCCCTGGGAACCCAAGCCTGAGGCCTGGTGGTGCGGGCCAGCTCTGCCTTGGCACGATACTGTTGCAGCCTGGCATTGATTCGAGCCTGTAATAAAGAATTACACAAATTAAAAAAGGGAACAAATCATAATTGGTTTTGAGTTATGTCCTTCTGGAACATATCCGCAATGTATTTGCATTTTAAAAGCCGCCTGATCTAATCGATGCTATTTTCATTCCAGAATGCTATGACTCAAGAAACAGCCACTGATACAGACATCTCATTTTACTTCAAAATGTATACACAACTAACACCATCCTTTCACTAGGTTTTGGAGGTATTCACTGGTTTCTTGATGAGACTTTCCTACCAATGAAAGAAACACAAATGATTGCTGGCTTTCAGACAATCCCTTCTAACACTGGTAATTTGATGGGACTGTGAAAACTCACTACTGGGAAACGCTTTGGCTGACCTACCAAAAATACATTTAGATACACTTTAAATTGGTATCAATGTGAGCAATAAAAGTTAATTAATAGCATTTTTGCCATATTTGACATCCTTTCGTAGGAATTCCTTTCTCAATGCCGTATCTGCTAATAAATGTTAAACGAGTGATTATAACATGCCAAAACCACAACCCAAACAGAAGCGAAGCAGGCAAGAAAAGCTCACATTATATATTGTCAATGACATCTGTATATTTGTGACCATCTGGGGGATCAAGCCCAGAAGATCAAGTTGTTACTGACAGTTTGAAAGCACTGTCTTGTGGGAAAACCTATGTAGTAGCAATTCTAGCAGAAAATGACATCAACATACAAACCTTCAGAGGCAAAACTCCAGCTGACTACGAGTTAGAAGTTGTTTACTTGCCTGCAGAAAGAAGAAACTAAACTAATACAACTGCTTCACCATATGGTATGAGATACTCCTGAGATGAAAGCAAAAAAAGTGTGCATATATACATATATATATACACACGATGGTTACAGAACACCTCTGATTAGAAACAGCACTGCTGAAGGTAATATTACAGACAGTTTAACACCCATTATCTTACTATGTCTTGAACAGCAGTGACCAAGAAACACAGCAAATGTGGCTTGCAGGCCAGCTCTGACCTCAAGGGCTTTTTTCTTGGATGCACAGCAGCAAGCAACAGATCCACCTAAAGCCATCGCATCACTTTATTCTCCACTGGAAGGACCAACGATGGTTTATAGCTTCCTCAGCTGAGATGCTTCTTTTACTGATTACATGTTCAGTTCTGAAACCATTTGGGTCATTTAAGATGTCATATAACAGTATAAGCAGAAGTTTACTCCAGAAATAGATGAAAGACTAAAATTACTAACGTCTAAATGGAATCCTGAACTCAAGCAACTTGGATTTAAGCAATTTTCAAGTATACGCTTTACTCAAAGAACGTACATTTCCTTTATTGCTAATAAAAGAGTATTCCAATGTAGAACATCTTGCAACAATCCATAACAGTCCTAGACAGCTTTATATATTATATTCCTTAGAGGGATTTACTTTCTTGTGCCACAGGACTTACCAGACCATTGGCTCAGTTATTCCTGCTTTGGATACAAAGCACCAAATATCCATTTTTTCTTCTTCAAAAGTGCACTTCAGAAATCCAATTTGACAATACCAGATGAATTATTTGTACAACTGCACACTTACGTTAGCTCAATGTCTGTAAACCTTACTTAACCCCTCTGGAAGTGAGCTATTGTAAGCACATACATATATACACATTAGATATATATATATATATTTACTTCTTAATCTTTCTTTGCAGACTAAGCTGTATCAAGATTCTTATTTCTAAGGCTAAATCCTAATTTAACAAAGAAGGGTGAATTTACTGGTGGTGGGACTTTAACTTTCTCATACAGACAACATATGGCAAGGTAGGGGATGAATTTACATGAACTTTGTGTCAACTCATCAGCCAGACATTTCTAGTATGCATTAAGTACTCCTTACCGTTCTGCATTTCTAAAAAGGCACAGAAACCACTCAAACAATTACTTCATAAAATCCCAATACATAAAACTGGACATAGAACTGTATTTTTCAAGCATCCAATCTGCTTCCATCCATGTAAACTCAGGTACACACACAATACTAAAGAAAACTCATACAACACCAGAGCCATCAATAATGAAATCAAGTGGTTTTACAAAATGTATGCAAGTTATCAAATTTGTATCAAGATGCCTATGCCACCATGTCAATTAACTCCACCTGCAGCTTTCAGCATTCATTCTTTCAGGTTCTAAACATTTAATCCAAATAATTTTGATCCAAATAATTTTGATTAAATTTGCAGGTCTCAGTTTGGGGGAAAGAGGGAGAAGAGAGGGAGATGCTGGGAACTTATCAGCACCGCATAACAAATGCCTGAAAAAAGAGGTAATAAGCCCTGTTGGACCCAAACTGATTTTGCACAACCAGCACTTACCATTAGCTAGTGTAGTATCTATATTATTGTGATTTTTCCACTACATAGGTGCATTTCACGTAACTGAGAGCTGAGAGTATTCAGCAAGAATTATTTAACCAGTTTTAAATCAAGCTACACGAAGCTCAATACATATCCCATAGAAATATTTTATTCAAAATTATTCTATGAGAGAGTTTGCTCATATTCACTCTCAAATGCACAGGTCATTTTAAATTAAAATTATTCTTCTTCTATTTAAAGATCTTTGAGCAACTAGAAAGGTATGATTTTTTAAAATAAAAAGTTTGATGATATAAAGATTTATTTTCTGATCATTACACTACATTTCTCCTGTCATAAGAAAAAAGCAGCTATTTCTCTCCCATAACTGCCTTCCATTATTTACAGCATATGCTACTTTCTGCAACAAATTAGGTAGGATTCATTCAGATGAGCTGCTTTCTATGTAGGTATGATTTTTCCACAGAATGCCGTTGAGCCTAAACAGTGAAAGCAAATTATGCTATAAATTCCTCAGAATATAAAAAGTATAATAAAGTGCACATATTAAAATGTATCAAAGTACACAGATTACCTCAGAAGGATTGAAACCTTTATATCAACAGGACATTTACTGGTTGAGCTTATGCAGTAACTAAGAGTTTCACATGGATCTGCCGCTAGACACAGATATACGCTTTGCCTAAGATTTTCAGACAACTGCCACTCAGCAGCACAGACTCAGTTGCTGTAACCTACATAATTTTTTTCTAGGAAATCTTTACTTTGAAAAGACCCAGCACACAGAATTCTACTTAGGCCTACAAAATGGGAAAAAGGAAACAAGAAAATCTTTAGGCAAGTTAAGTTCTTCTGCCAAGTTCAAATATTACCAGGGGGAAAAAGTGGATTGTTACTGAACTTTGATGTATAAATATGTTTACTTTATTGTTTGGCTGTCTTTTTTTGTTAAGAATCTTGAAGAAAATGTTGAACAAAATCTATGAATTACAATGAAAATGTATTACCAACTTTTTGCCACAAAACCAAACAGAATAAGATTTTGAAATTCAGATAAGCATAGATATCCCCCTTTAATCATTAGCATATTGGGAATTTTCTGAGATCAAAGCCTACAAATAATTCGCTGCTCTGTTAAATGACTATGTACTATCAATATATTCCACATTTCATTTCCTACTATAATAACTATTTCCCATCCTCTTCATTTCCTCCTTGTTTAACATGCATGATTAATACAGACACATTGTGTCATGAATACAATACCTGAGCTTCTGGTGAGAGCTGTTTCTCTCTTTCCTGTAAGGACATTTTACAGTAAGATTGTAATGCCAAGTAGTTCTTCCGCTTCCATTTTCTGTCTAACCTGTCCGCATGCTGTTTACAATAAGCAAAAAAAGGGTCAGCTATATCCTGTTTCAGAGAAAACAAAGGGGAAGGAACGAAAACAAAGTAAGACATACAAGACCAAAAGGCTCTGAACAGTACAAACACTCTGGCACTAGTTCACATGTTCAAGTAGACATGGTTTCAAAAACAACTATTATGTATGTTTCTAAATCAATTTTGTCATGTTGATGTAATTTATCACATAATGTGGTTTTACATCGTTTTCATTGTGTGACCCTAAACATTTTTAAATGCATTAACTATTAACTGATCAATCTCTATTTTTTTATTCTCTGAAGAAACAGTAGAAGAAATTCCTAGGTACAAATCCATTTAACACAATAACATGTATTGTTAACTTCCTATTGCTTCACTGTGTCATCTTTTCCATTATATCCTACAAGGGATTAAAAAGTCTCAATAATACAAAAGGCAACATATTTGGTTTTCTCAAATTATTTTCCAAATTGTTTTGGTGGCTATACCCCCACACGATTTATCTTCTCTCAGATGATTTTTTTTTCCATTTTTCATTCTTTGCTCGATCAAATCCATACATTATCATGGCTGTAAGTTTATAGCAACTTTTAGCACTTGCAAACTTTGCAAGCAGAGTACAAATATCTGAACCATGAGGAGATAAGGTTCAAGAAGTATATTTCATTGCCAGTATACTTTCAAAAGTGTAGAAACATCATCATAAATGTACAGACTAAGAACTTAAAGCAGTCTTCCTTCATAAACTAATAAAAATTTTAATAAATAATTTGCTTAACAAATTTTCATTTACTCCACCTATAAAACACAGACCAATAGAATCTACGCAGGCTTTCCTTACGAACTTATTCTATTTTAATTTAGATTTTCATAATGTTTGACAAATTCCTCCCAAAAATTAGCATCATCCTAAAGTTAGATTCTGTGAGGCCTTGATTAAAAATATTTTGGTTACAGAAAACATGTAAGAAAAATTTAGGGCAGAAAAGCAAGTAAATGCATACGCCTAGAAAAATTCACACAGAGTGTCTGAACAATCAACATTACACATAATTTATTAAGGACAACAACAATGAGGTAATTGTACTATCTTCCTATTTATCAATCTCACAGAAGAAAACTCTTTTGCGATTCCTTTAAGAATCACTCAGTGGCTTCCTGTTTTTCAGAAACAAAAGCGTCAATCTCAACAGTGCAATTAAGGCCAGTTTGTGTGTTACCTGTGGTACTTCCTAATGCAATAAGAAGTTAAATTGTGCAGCTACGAACACGACAAGCTTAATCTAAATTATATGTATCAGGATGAAATTTGGCAACCTAAAACTATTTATACCTTAGAAATTAATTTGGAAGTAGGAGCTTAAAGTCCAAATCGCTTTAATCATATTACAGGAAAAAACCTAGCAAGAACAGATATTAAAAAGTTATCAGTAGGTTATAAATGTTTGCTTTTCATTCTGATTCCTAAGATTAATGTTACCACAAGGAAAGTCATGTACCTATACCGCAATTTAAAGAAAAAACTGGAAAACATGCATGAAAAAAGGGCATTAGAAATGTAGTTAATTTCCCAAGCCAGTCCTACTTGGTATGAAACAGAAAATACTATACTACATAAACAGCTACATAAGTATGTCAACCTAGGCGAAGTTTCAAGATTTAGAGTCACGTCTGTATCGACTGATTAGAATTAGCATTAAGTCAATGTGCGTGTTAACCTTCTCTACCCCTTTTTCCAGGCCATTTCAAAAGGTGCTCAGAGTTGGACAATTTGGCGAACAAAGAGCCCTCCCTGGATAGTCCCTTTACTCAGTCTATGACTTGCTACACATTTACAAAAACTTTTCTCAGGATTAGTGAGCAAAAAAGGCACCATTTCAGATCGCCTTTTCAAGCTTTCAACACAACTCTTGTATTCTAGCCTTTCCATAGCTACCTCTTCTGCTGCTGCTTCTGAGAGGAGGCCTTCCTTCTGAGCGCAGGTCACATGGAAATAAGCTCTGCACATCCCAGCATCACAGCTAATGCACACACCAGTTCTGGCAAAACGAGGATCTTCGCAAAAACTGCATTCCTTTATAAAGAACAGTGAGAAATGCCACGGTAAATACTTCAGGCGTATTTTGCCTAATTCATAATTTACATATAAAAACCAATGGGGCAGCTTTACTTCTGTGTGTTAGGGAAACCAAGTACGCTGCTGACAGCTGACACCACTTAAAACTTCACTCCTTCCCAAGCCCCACTATGGATTTCATTTTCAACTAACCATGGACAAGTGCTTAAACAACCTAAACAGCATTTTAGATGAATTTTTGTATGAACATCCATGTCTTGTATTCCATTTCAGAGCAACAACTAAATACCACTCAAGCAGTTCCTGCACAATTACTTCTAAAAATAAAATAAAACATTACCATTCAGCAAATGTTCAATTGTTCAACAAGTTCAGAGGACAAACAACAAAAAAAGAGCAGCGCTCTGGATGACTGAAAACCATAAATAATTACATAGATGTCTTCTGATAAGCAACAACTGAAGAGCAAATGTGTCACAATGCAGAAAGAAATACTCAAGAATCCTAAGTACCAGTAAAGAAGGTTGTGATTCACTTAGACACTGCACTAGGGCTTCAGCTAAATGCACTCTAGGCACAGCTGTTTGCAACACAGCAAACTGCCATCCCCTAATGTGACCTGGAAAAAAACCAAACCTTATTTTTCAGACAGATCAGTTCCTCAGTCTTTTTCACCACAAATTCATACCAAACAGCTGTGCCAGCAAACTAGAGTGTTGAGTCCATAAGCAGGAACAGGCCCATGGAAACATGGGCTGCTTAAACAGTGCTGCCATCCAGCGCATAAAGATGATCTAAAATTATACAAGTGTCCATTTCTTCATCTCTCACACGCTGAATACACAGCAAAGCTGTGCATCGCCTACTTCTGTATGTCCATGTAGAAAGTTAAACTACAGAAAGGAATGGCAAAGAAAACTCAGTGACTGAAGAATCTCAAAACACCGCATAGGTTACCTTGAAAGGCCATCCTTTAGCTGTGCAACGGCACTACGTAACAGATAAGAAAGGAAGCGAATAAGCATATTATATTAAGCTGGTTTTGCAGGGGGAAATTTAGCTAAGTAAGCTCTAACTTCTACACTTGATACAGCAAAAAGCATTTTTTTTTACACCTCTGTAGAGAGTAATGAGTCTGTGCCTCATCTTTACCTTACAGTAACACACACAAATTCTTAGCCCTGTTCCTATACAACCACTCATATTAATAAAAAAAATAAAATGCATGATTCATTGCAACAACAATTTGTAGGCTTTTGGGAGCTTGCTCTGACTTTTTTTTTTTTTGATACAAATATTTCCAAACAATGCTAAATGCCTCAGCAGGCCCATGCTGAACATGCTCCTGATATAGGTATGTTGTACACGAGCAAACCAAAGTGTTTTAATTTATTTTATATATTATATGTATTTTTCAAACGTACTACAAATTTTCATTTAGCATTCAGCTGGATAAACTGACATGCCAGAAAATGAAACTGAATATGCACAAATGAAGCATTAGAGCAGCAGGAGTACGAACAACTTCCCTCACATTTGCCTCATAAATATGGCTTCTCTATACTGCCCCTATCAGCTACAGAAACAGTATTTAACGAATTACTAAGTGCTGTCCTCTGCCCGTTGCAATGGTTTTCTGTATGGTTTATGCATGGCCACTTTTGATCTGGATTGAAAATACTTACATTTAAAAATACTTTCATTTTAGAGCCATATTTCTGTCCAAGTTGAGCTCCCCACGTTGTTGTGGGTTATTTTAAATACTGCTTTGCAGCAACCCTTCCTGTATGTTTTTCCTGCCTATAATTATACAGAGCCTAAAGTAATTCATATTGAATGTACATCTGTCGCTTTCTTAATCAACCCAACCTTCTATTTCACATCCTTTAAATCCTCTTCATTTTCCACAGACATTCTGGCAACCTGCCACTAACTGACTTTAAAATAAAGTAATTAGCACCTGCATAAAAAATAAGGGAAAGTAGGGGGGAAACAGTAACAGAAATTATGGAGAACAGTTGTAAGGAAAATAGAAAGAAAGAGGGAGGGAAGAGCAATGGTGTAACAACCACAAACAAACTTCATCTAATTTTTAGTCCTGAACTTCACTGCAATAGCTATAAACAAGAAAAATAAAGTTGGGAAGATGTGTGTTATTCTATTATACATAAAAATGTAAAATAAAGCTACCTGCTGGCAGTACATCTCTTCTAAACTTACCTTGGCACCGTACTTTGAATAATTCATTTCTGTAAGCGTTACTGGCCGCAGTTTGTCAATATCTCCAAATGCCACTCCTGGAACATAGAGGGCACAAACAATATGGACCCACCTACAACAGCAGATAAAATTAGGTTACTGTTAATCAACATTTGATCCTATATCATAGTCACCATTTGCAGATTTCAAAGTGCAAATGTTACAGTTGGTAGAAGAAATGTGTTTGAAGGAAAGTACATTAGAAGCAGGAATATAATGCACGTTTGGAATTCATCAGCTCACACACTGAACCAGAGAGTAAAGTTTTTCAAAGCCACTGGGCTTGCTCTGCCTGCCTAGATCAAGGGCTTGGCTACCATCACCTTTCTGTTCTGACGGCTCTCACATGGGGCTCCACACTGCTTTTTTATACAACATGAAACGCATACGAAGATTTTTATATTACTTATAAAGCAAAGACAGATACTTTCATGATGGGGCAAGGGGTAGGAAGGGAAGAAAGAAAATCACACAGTCACAACAACGCTGACCTCTAGGCATATAGCTATGAAGTACCTACAACACAGCACCAGTCAGACTTTGCAGTGTTACAGTTATACCTGCTAATATCACCAAAACTAAATAGTTTTAAGCAACATGGATAGCAGCTGCATTCAGTTGTAAACACATCCGAGTTGTATTACAGAAATGCCTATCTGAAATTCAGATGAACAGACTGCTACTTAGCTGTACTCTTCTTCACTTGCCACAAACAAACTAGAGGGTAATAGGTCTAAATCTTCAGCCCTGAGAGGCATAAAATGAGACAGCATGAAGCTGGACCTCAGTGTCTAGTAATAAAATACAACACAACGATAAAGGCTTCAACCTCAAGTCTGCCTTTGACAGACATTGTCAGAATTTACGGAAACACTCAAGTTACCAAAAGACATCCTTGCAGCAGAAGACACATCTTCTTTTTCTCATGTAATGAACACTTTCTAAAAGATCCAACTGTCATTGTCACAAATGATCAGTTAGTGACCAACTCAAGGTCTGTTCTACACAGCATGCATGATTCAAATCAACCGAGACAAACTACTCCAAAAAAACAAAAGTGTTCCTCCCCAGAATAATCTTCCTGTTTTATCAAAATTCCGGAAACTATTTGCTACCCCTTGCTAAGTCGCTAGGTGGGAGAAAACTGTCATAGACAGGTCAAGGCTGCTACTTTCTGTTATCTTAAAATATTCAAGAAAGCAGTCTTAAAATTGCAGGTGTGTAGCTATCACTTTCAACCTATGAGCTCCCAGATGACATGGGATACAAGCAGAGACTTCAGACATAACTGAGCTGAAATATCCTGTGTTTGATCCTTCACAAGTACTTTACAATCTTCGCAGTCACTAAATTTTAACATTAAATATATCACTAGCGAAACCTAATACTACTGTTCTGTTCTAACAGAACCATAGAATCTACTCCCTGTACTCAACAAAAGTCATGATGATGCCAGAAACTCTTCTTCCTCTGATTACCCACATACCACAACTTCCCAATCTCCCTAAATACCAGGGGTTCAGCACAGACTTCTTACCACCTACCGAAATCTGCATCCATGGTGCTGTGCTCTTTTTTCCAATCTTCTACCACTGCTTAGTTTCTCTCTTCTCCCTCATCTTTATGTTTTGTGTGTCAGTAAAAAAAACTCAATTGTCACCAGAGCAATAAGATCCTGGGTTTAGCTGCACTTGAACAGCATGTTTATTAACCTGTTATTAACTGGCCGTCTACAGTTGAGAGAAATACTGTAAATAAAAACTATCTGAATTCTGCAGGGCTTCTTTTCTATACTCTTCCATTGATTCAATACGTGTTATATAGAACAAATCTGTATAAACTGAAGTTACACATCTCCACAATTACTATTCTTTACAAAAATCCAAGGTTCTGGTTGGAGATTTTTGATAGTAAGTTTTAATACAGACTGCTAAATGTACCCTCCAAAGTTCAATATAAAGATATACATCTTCTACAAGCAGCTGCTTCTCAATTTAATTTGCACAGTTTTTTCATGCTCCACTGGTGTATTTAATGCTGCTGCACTCTGTAGGAGTTTATCTATGATAAACCCAACAGCTGGCTGCTTGCTTCATACTGACCTTCTCAAAATGTTATAGTACATGTCACCCAAGTATAACAGTATTACAGATTTAAACTGCCATTTCAGTGTGATTGGCACAAGTGCCTCATTTCTTCAACCACCTACATGCGAACTCAGACCTGAATCTTTATTAAAAAACACACAAGTCAGGCAAGTTCACAGCTGAAGCAATTTCAGCTGCTAATACCAGTTCTAAATATTTTCCTGCTCATTTGTTTAGCTGCACGTTTTAGAAGCTTGTAATTAAGACAAATTGGGTAATCAAAGAAGAATAATCTTCCTTGTTACTTTACCATCCATTTAGCTTGGAGCAATGATGACAGATGTTGATTAGGGAAGAAGAAAAACTCCATTCCGAAACGAGGACAGATTCATACTCTTGGATAATAGCATTTTGAGAAATAAAATTTCATAAATTCACATTTGTGCCTATGAAACTGAGAGGTTAATGTGACAAGGCTTCTGTTGAGAAATTAAGCACCTTATTATTCTAATGGTTCACCTTTCACGTAGGAACAGAGAAATTATTCCAACTTGATTATGAAGAGAAACTGAGTAGGTTTGGTTTGTATAATTTCCAGCACCAATGCATATATGAAGAATTTATTTTAAAAAGGTGGTAAGGGCATGGATAGCAATGGCAAGGTGAAGAACTGTTATTCAGTAGTCTCTCTCTGCTAGTATTTCAAGAAAAGAACTGAACTGGGTTGCAATTACCAAGTACAACGAAAATGTAACAGACACTGCCTGCCTCAAGACCCTACCTCTAGCCTGTAGTGCCCCATTACCCTCAAATTTTTTAATAAATGATAGAAAGAGAGCACAGGAATTTTCACATGGTAGTTAGCATCTGTTTTTTCTAGTACATCTAGAGGGTGGAGAAGCTAAACTGGTG